TTGTTTTATCATGAAAATTGAGTTATATGACGAAAATTTTTTTATTAATAGGACTGTCGTATGTCGTACAAACACCTACCTCTGACATACCCCCTGAAACCATATCAAATGAAATGTGGGTTTGTTTTGAAACCTCCAATGTTAACTCTTTACATCGAACGAGGGAGAAAAGTCACATGATGCCCATGATGATGCTGATTATGATGATGATGATGATTATGTTGATGATGATGGGGACGATGATAATGAGGATAAAACAAAAATATGGTAAGTCTTCTCTATGTATCATATCATATCATATCATTTATTTCGCCTCAGTTAAAAATTACAAAAATTACAAACAAAGACATTGCACAAACAAAGGTAAATCAATGAGGCAGGATTGCCTAAATGTTATAAATAAAATAACAGTCGAGAGGCTCTCCACAAAGAAATACCATATACAAAGATGTAACATGAAAGTTAAAATTGAAAAATCAGTATAAAAAGTTACATTGCATTATTAAAATTTAAATATATAAAAATTCCAATCCATTAAGTATTTTTAAAACAGTAAAATTGAGATAAAATATTGGTAAAAATTGCATTTTATTTTATTTAAAACATTAGGCTAGGTCAGTAAGGTATTTTTTAAGTTATATTTAAAAATATTATAATTAGTTAATAATAATTGATAATTGGCGTCACCAAAGAATGTTTCTTTGGCATGGAATCAATACCGTGCCAGGAACGCCAAAGAACTTTTCTTCGTACAAAAACTGAACATTGCAGGTACATTTTTTAGCTGCAACAAAAATAGCGGCTACTTAGCCCGTTGCACAACTAACCACCAAACGCTTTAAGAGAAAACTTCCTGAATGGCTCAAGGATAGGAATGACATTCTCTCACTCATGCACAGACGAGATAGACTTAGTGGCGTTTCTAGAAATCTGGAATTGGGGAGGAGAGCTGATGGGGGCTGATGGGGAGCGGAGGTGAAGTGGAGAGGGCTCGATGATCAGTTGAGGGGCGCTAATTCGCAAAATATGGTGATTTTAGGTGATTTTTAACTACTTGACCGTAATTCTTTTGGGGGCCGACTGGGGGAGCGAGTAATTTTAGGGAGGGGCGTATACCCCCCCCCCCCCCCCCCACTCCCCACTGGATAGACTTAAGGTGCGTGCCAAATCATGTCGTGATGAACTGTGGCTATAGCGCGAAACTGTAAAAATCTTGTTACTAAACTCTGCACAACAAACCAAAAAAAGATTACTACAGAAGACATATAATTGATTCTGCCTATGATAGTAAACAAATGTGGCTTGGTCTTAATAATCTTATTTCTTTCAATATAAATGTTTTGCCTTCATCAATCAAAGTCAATGTTAGTGGAATACGTTAACTAATGAACAGGAAATTAGCAATGCTTTTAACGATTTTTTTTTTGTAAATATTCATTTTAAATTAGACAGTGCACTTGATTCGAATAACATTAATTCTTGTTCTTACTTTGACCCACCTATGTCTTTCTTTTTCTTTCATGAAGTTACAAGCGAGTTTGTTCATGATCAACTGCAGGGCATGGACTCTGGAACGTCGACTGGCATCAACTGCCATCCTATCAAGCTTTTGAAGCTGGCGACCCCTTCTATCGTACCTTATTTGACATATATATATATATATATATATATATATATATATATGTAACTTGTCATTAACAAATGGATGTTTCCCCGCCGATCTGAAAGTTGCCAAAGTGGTGCCAATCCAAAAGGACGTCTAAAAGTGGCGTGAAAAACTATCGTCCAATATCTGTGCTCCCGATCCTTTCTAAAGTTTTCGAATATCATTTAACCTACTGGGCTAAACTGGAAGGGTTACCCTCTTTAAAGATGGTTCAAACAAACAAACAAACAAACAAACAAAAATAGGCTAGGCCTATGTCTAGTACTAGTAAAATTGTTGAAAAGACGGAATTGAGAATTAATTTTTAGTCGATAATTTAGGCCTCTTACATGACTTTACCGTTGGACATATTCTATTAAGTTCTCCAGTAGGCCTAAGAATCATGAAATGTCGGTGTTCCACCAGTCCAGTGATGAACCTACGATATTATATACCGTATTAATTTATCATTAATTAGGAGGAATCAAAAACCAAATGTTAAACTTCTAATCTCAACACAATATTCTCTTCTGTTAGAACATAGAGATGGTTAGAACAAAAGTTCCGCCTTTGTTTGTTTGGGTTTTTTTTTTCTGGGTTTTTTTTTTTTTTTTTTTTTTTTTTTTTTTATTTATTTTTTTTCCCCGGTTTTTGCCTGTCTCTTATACACATCTAGATGTGTATAAGAGACAGAGATCGTCTCTATACATAATGGTAGGATCAGCAGTGAGAAATTCATAAAATTCCTGGTTTCCAAGTTGAGACTCAGCCTCCTTTTTATAGTCAAATTTATTAAGGATGGTGACGCCTCGCCCCCCCCCCCCCACCCCCGTCGGGCAAATCCTGTTGCCACCTCTGGACCCCACGCCCAAAGAACCCCCCCTTGAAATGACCTGGCTACGGGCCTGCAGACAGTGCACTTGATTCGAATAACATTAATTCTTGTTCTTACTTTGACCCACCTATGTCTTTCTTTTTCTTTCATGAAGTTACAAGCGAGTTTGTTCATGATCAACTGCAGGGCATGGACTCTGGAACGTCGACTGGCATCAACTGCCATCCTATCAAGCTTTTGAAGCTGGCGACCCCTTCTATCGTACCTTATTTGACACACATATATATATATATATGTAACTTGTCATTAACGAATGGATGTTTCCCCGCCGATCTGAGAGTTGCCAAAGTGGTGCCAATCCAAAAGGACGTCTAAAAGTGGCGTGAAAAACTACCGTATCCAATATCTGTGCTCCCGATCCTTTCTAAAGTTTTCGAATATCATTTAACCTACTGGGCTAAACTGGAAGGGTTACCCTCTTTAAAGATGGTTCAAACAAACAAACAAACAAAAAAATAGGCTAGGCCTATAAGTCTAGTACTAGTAAAATTGTTGAAAAGACGGAATTGAGAATTAATTTTTAGTCGATAATTTAGGCCTCTTACATGATTTTACCGTTGGACATATTCTATTAAGTTCTCCAGTAGGCCTAAGGATCATGAAATGTCGGTGTTCCACCAGTCCAATGATGAACCTACGATATATACGGTACCGTATTAATTTATCATTAATTAGGAGGAATCAAAAACCAAATGTTAAACTTCTAATCTCAACACAATATTCTCTTCTGCTAGAACATAGAGATGGTAAGAACAAAAGTTCCACCTTTGTTTGTTTGGTTTTTTTGGGGTTTTTTTTTTTTTTTTTTTTTTTTTTTATACTGAGATGAGATTTTAATTCGAATACGATAAATCATCATTGACTGTTTGTATCTTGGTAGTCGGACGAATATATTGTTGTTAAATCTTTTACTATTAAAGCAATTTCCCTCATATTAAATTGCAATCTCGGTAATTCATCCTTTTATTATTGCTTTTAATTGATGATGTTTCTTGTCAACTTAACTTTTATTGTTTAACTTTTATGTAATGCAATATGATTGACTTTTTGGTGTTGTTAAATTTTAGCTTCCCAGAATTTTAAATTTCTCTTTCATATTGTAAATTTATATTCTTGCATTTGAACATATTTTAATGGAATTTCGCAATATAGGCCTAGGCCCTAATTGAATAAATTATTATTTATTTATTATTAATTTCCACGTCTTATTTAGCATGTTATCAAATATGCAACCGTTTTAGGTGGATTCAAAATTCAAAAAACCATTTCTATCTTGATTTTCAGTAGGAACACACCCATAGAATCCTAAGGCCAACACTCTATGTGGTCTTTAAAGTTCTTTATTTAGAGGGAAAAATACATTAAATGGTTTATTAGAATGGATGTATAGTTAATGCATGCTGTTATTTATTCTTATAAAAAATGTTCATTACTTACTAAGTAACATCACGTTCGCTACCGTACTCAATATACACAAAGCATCACCTTATGACACTCATGAACCCTACAAGGGAGTTTTTATTCCGAACCGTCGACCGAGGCTCATTCGGCCCCTTGGCTCGGACCCCTCCGTCGGACATGTCGGACCCCTTGTCGGCTAATTTCTGGCGCCACCACTGCTTATTAATATGTTTATGTTCAAGCGATATAACAAATTTATTATAGAAAAAATAGCATTAACATCTTTAATTGGAGGGGAAATTTTCATTTTTGGGCCCTTCAACACCACGGTCTTTGGCCTCTAAATAGAGTCTTTAATTTGACGGAGCAGCTATGTTAAAAGATAGGAATTCAAACGGAGCCACAAAAAAGTGGTCCGTTAATTTGAGGTGGTCTTAAATTGGAGGGGTCGTTAATTGAACATAGGCCTATGGAGATTTGGTTTCAGATTAATTCCTGCTCTGACAGCTTGCTGTAAAACCACAGACGAATTACATGAATGATAACGTCCACATTTTTTTATACGTTTTTATTTGTATAAACCTCCCCATATGATGCATAGGAACCACAATAAACCATTACACATTATAATAAATTGCCTAGTAAAAATGACGTCATTCTACATTATATAGGCCTAATTTAATATCAATAAACGGTTACGTAAACTTAAACTAGTGAATAATAGCTGTGTTCTTTTATTAAAGCCAGTCTCCGGAAGAAAAAGTTAGTTCGAGACGGAAATGGTGGGAATAAAATAACATGATTACGTCACGTACATTCTGGCACTTCATTGGGTTATGGTTTACCGTACCTTTAGCAAAATAATGGAAGCAGAAATACTGTACCGTCCCTAGCCACCTCGTAAAATTAAATGGTTTATGTTTCTGGTTGTTGTGCGCACTTCAATTCTATCTATGAATAGAGAGCGCAACGGAAGAGGAATAAATTATAGACACATGCAGATTCTTATTAATTAATAAAACATTGTATTGGAAATCAGATAATAAAAACTGAGACTTGAAAGATGTGTGGACCACAGATAGCGAGTGTATATCAATTAATCACAGAAGCGAGCTCAGCAAGAGGGCAATGGAAGGAAGAGTATTTATGTTTAGCGTTGTCGCTACTTTTTGTTTTTTAAGCATTATCATTGAAGCGTCAAGGCAACGTGAAGCGACATACAACGGTAATGTGTTGTTTTATTTATTTTTTGCTAAATCTACTGAGCGTGTGACGCGTTTTCTATTCCAGTCTTGTTTCGCCAGGGCGGATAAGTTATCCTTTTTCACACCGAAAATACAGTCTTATTCAGGCCCCTAGCGTGACTTAATTTGTGGGAGGTTCGTTTCAGTGGAAAGTGGCCCCTTTACTTGTATGATCTCCGATACTCTGGAGAACATTGTAAATTATCCACGAAAATCAATTCTTTCGTTTTTAAATGCGGCCTTCTCCAGTTTTTGGGCGGTTCGTCGTAACCCCTTCAACCCCC